AAAACATTTCATATGATTTTTCAAAACATACCTAATTTTAAGGGTATTTTTGTAAGTATCCCGTTGTTCTCTATAAGGATTTGGTTATAACGGGCCAACATTAGGAACATGGAACAAGGCCGAAAGTTCCATTAAAGACGTGTGGGGGAATGCAAACACGCCTCTTTTTGAACCAATCATCATTGTTCTTTCTCTAAACGTACAAATTTAATCCCGCACCGTTTCTACACAACCCTACTGCAATTCGTGGTATACAATAATGGAGTTCAATTATCGAGCAATTGGTGAACAATCTTCCCCTTACAGTCACTTCTCAGAACAAGCCTTCCGAGGTTTTATCCAATTTCAGACGTTTAATATTCGCGTAAAAAGTGGACAGTTTAGTTCTCGAAATTGGAATTAATATTTTGATTTTCATGTTTTATATTTCATACTGTTTTCTTTTTTAAACTATCTGCAATTTTGGTTGTTACAGCTGGATATTTGGGAGCGCCCGGCGACGATTTTCGGAAGCAAAGAGAATTGCGTGAAGCGATTCTGATAGAGATAGAGAAAGAGAGGATCAGACAAGAGATAATCACTATAGAGATAGCTAGAAAACGCGCGTTGCAAGAGGAATTGAGGAGAGGGCAAAATGGCGGTGGAAAGAGATCAATTGGCTTTGCAAATCATTCGCACGAATCACCGGCGGAGGAGAGAATCGGAATGTCAGTGGAGAAGTGGTTGGGGATTAGGGCGGCAACCAAGCAAGAAACGGCACCGTTTCGTTACAAGTACTATTGAAAATTTTGAAGATATTCGTGGCATGTTTTGGTTGCATGGATCTCTCTTTTGTGCCTCTGATTGACTGATTTTGTAATGCTGTAAAGTGAAGTGGGATGGTTGCTACTCTTTTCCATTTGCATATTGAACCTACAATTTCAGAATCCTTATCATTATGTTTGTTATGAGAATTATGTTGAGGTTACATTTCATAGTATATATCTTTGTTGACATTGTGTAGGAATTCAAAAATTATTGTGCAGGAGAGTGTGTTTTTTTTTTTAAAATTGTCCAATCATGTGTCGACACGTAACATAATGTCAAAAATGATGTCAAATAAGATGTATCGTTGTTATGAATCTTATGAGTGACAGTTATTAAAAATTCGGGGAAGATTTAGCTGGTTTGGTGGCCTTTAATTGTAAAAAACTATTGAATAGTATTTTTTAGAAAATGTGTGGTTTAAAAAGTAGGAAAAAATTTTGGATTTATTTGTAAAATATTTTATTGTGTGATATGTTGTTGAAAATGAATATGAAAAATAAATTAAAGTAAATTAAAGGCCACAAAAGAGGAGCTTATGTAGAAACACTTATGGCGTGCTTGCAGTTTTGTCGTACCCATTATGAGCGCTATTTTAAAATATCGATTTTGAGCGTTTGCGAGCCAATCGATTTTGAGTAATTTTAGTAGCAGTTTTTAAAACTCTCTAACCTATGCCTGAGAGTCTATCATTAACTGGTTCTGGATGAATAAAATTACGTATATATTACTTGATAAAGTTTTCTTTTATATGATTTTTTTTTACTCATGAGTGATATTTTACTTATAGATAAATTTTTGTTTCATATAAGTTAATATTTAATTTAAAAACTTAATTAAAATTTTAAGATATTTTACTTATAGATAAATTTTTTTTTTTACTTATAAGTATATTTTACAATCATAAGTAAATTTTATGCTTTCAAATAACTTTTAAGTGAATTTTGTCTTATTAGTAGTATTTTTATTTTATGTTTGGATAAACAAGGCATCATTTGTATCATGATTTGTAGAAAAATCAAGAGAGTGATTTTGAATCGTGTAAGCAATCTGGTAATGAAGAGTTGCTCCAAATGTGTCTGTTGTTGGAATTGTACCAATAATTTGGACCTGGATTTTCAAAGCTAATAGTAATAATGGGTTTTCAATTGGCATGTTAAAATTTGGAAACATAGTAATAATTACTGTTCCCGTATTTAGTGTAGTTTCAACAGTGCCAATACATACGTGTTGATAATAAGCAAAACATGTATCTAATAGAGCAATCCTGGAAACCGCTGGAAGTCCCTTTCTTCCATGGAGAGTAAGTGCAATTCTTATAACTCCAAATGAATATGGGTAAAACCTTCACATAACCATGTTTTTGGAAGATGGGATGACAATTTTTGAGTAACAAACTATTCACTCTCAGTAGTAGGTAGAATACGATGATCAAACTTTGATGCTTGGACATATTCTTTGATTTGTGATTTAGATGGTGAAATAAGACTTCGGACAATTTTAGTGNNNNAATAAGACTTCGGACAATTTTAGTGAAACAGTGACGTGGTTTATTATATGGAGGTAAGGGTTTACAAGAGTTAAATCCGTGACCAGAATTTTTCTAGAGTCCGGAAGGTAAGATATTTCATAGAGAGAGTCGCTTTTAGAAGAATTGGTTTTCCTAAGAGAGGTAGAAGGAGATAATATGGACGAACTAGATGATTCAGAAGACATGATTTACAAAGTGTTCTTCCTAGTTTCTTTCAGAGTGGATAATCCCAATTAGATATAGTAAGATCAAGATAGCAACGTTGCTATGATACAAATAGAGTGGGGGTATGACAACCTTTATAATACATGGTATTCTAGTCCGTAACAAACATTTTTGGGCAACAACATAGGGCCTGACTTTTGGTATTACAAAGATTATCAAACCTCCATACCGAATCTTATGATCACTAGTACCATTCTTTTTGTGAAGAAACATCTAAGTATTCAGAAACAACACTAGAAGGACAATATCTTCGTAAAAATCTTTGGAATGAATTTAAGGAAAAAAATAAAAATTGACAAAATGGAAATAGACAAGTCAGAGCCAAGTAATCAAAATTCAAATTATTTGGACACTGAAATAAATTATAATGTGTTTTCCAGGATTTTCAAAATCCATATAAATATGAAACACGGCCGTATGATTTTGATTCAACAGATCCAAATAATCTTAAAAAATTGGAAGAAAAACTGTTTGAAGAAAAAATTGATACTAAAACTTGGCCTTAGTGGAAGCAACATGGGCTCCCCTCTGATTCAAATATACCTGGACGAGAAGCAAACCTTGGAACGCCTTGATGACTGAGCTCACGTGGAAACTTTATCTAAAGTTCTTTGTCGATTCTAATAAATGACTCTTCAAAAGTAGATTCCTTGCTATCTACTTTTTAAAAGGTGTTTGTCGTGATTTCAAATTATTGTATCTGTGTCAGGATCTTATCATACTTTATCAAAAGTAGTGTCATTTGTCTTCTTGTATAATTATTGTCTTTGTGTCAGTCGTCTTATCCTACTTTATGAAAATTAGTGATGAGTCATTTGTTATATTGTAAAATTATTGTGCTATGTGTCGGTTGTATCATTGTGTAATGTGTATGAAGGATCCACTCTTCTATATAAAGGGGTTTCCTCCTTCATTGTAAGATATTTCGAGCCCAGCTCTTTATAAAATAAAATGTTTGTCTCATATCCCCATGAGTTTCTAAAGCTTTTCATGTCCTTCCATAGTCTTAATGACTGTGATAACACCAAGATGAATAGTAAAAGAAAGATCTAAGTAGTATCATAAGTATGCTCTGTAGTTGCTACTATGAGGATCCTCTATTTCAGAAAAAATGGTACTGCTAGTCATAAAATTCGATATGGAGGTTTGATAATCTTTGTAATACCAAAAGTCAGGTCCTGTGTTGTTGCCAAAGAGGGTTTGTTGCGGGCTAAAATATCGTGTATTATAAAGGTTGTCATATATAATTTCATGTATCCATAGTAAAATCAAATCCATTGCATAGGCAAGGCTCGACTTGTCGCTCACGAGCTCGGCTTGTCCTCTAAATGGAAAGAAATAAAATTTCATTTATATATATAGTAAAATCAAATCCATTACATACGCATGGCTTGGCTTGGCCCCATTGCCCATGAGCTCGGCTCGTTAGAGTGTCCTCGAGGGCTAGGCTTGGCTTCACTCGATTGACAAGATGGAATTTTTTTTTTTTTGGAAACTCTCATTTTTTGGGTTTGGATTTGATTACTTAGTTTTCGAGTAGGTGACGTTAAAATTGTATATGGACAACTTGTTACATGTACATTTAAAAAAAAAAAATAGAATATTATTATTCTTTATACATGAGCATCTTAACAATTTTTTATACACTAAGCTTTTCAAAAAGTCTTCTTTGAGTCGATTCCTGAAATTGGATAGAACTCTACTGCTTACACTAAAAGCAAATTCCGATTTTACAATGCTAATTGGAGGTCTTAGTAGATCACCTACAATCACAGAAACAACGGGATACCTGTGTTTGCGATGTCTCAAAAAATCAAGTAAATCAAAAGTCATTACATCAGTTGGATCTACGATCCTAAGCATTTGATAATTAAAGTATCTATTTAATTCTTCAGGTATTCCACCTAGAACCGTGTCTGATGTATTTTGGTTATATATAGGATCATAATAGAAGAATATGCATCAAATCTTTCATCCCTAAATTCCATAAATAAATTCAATATTTCCTCATCATCATGTTCAAGATTAACGTTAGGGGTGCGGAGGGTGCCCGACTAAAATTTGCACCCATTCGTTGTGCATACAATTTTTTCGTTGAAGTTAAAGTATTTTCTAAATTAGAATATGTGATAGGAGCATCAAAATTTAAAAAAATTTGATTTATCTCATAACATATTTTGTACATTTCAAATTATACCTAGGACTCATTGCACATGCAAAAGGAAATAATATAGGTAGATTTTCCCAATATTTTCTAAATTTTAGTTCTATAAAAAATAATATTTCAGTAAATTTATTGAAAGTTCTTGCAATAACAAAAAGTCGTTCAAGAACTTTAGAATTAACGTAGTAGTATACCCAAGATAATATATTTGTAGAATCATAGAAACTTGCCAAAAAAATTTGAACTTTAAAAGTCAATTCCCAATTGGTATTCATCAAAACAGTTTGACTCATTTCTTGTATGTCTTGAATTATAAAATTCAGTAATTAATACTTTATAGTCTTCACAATATTTGAGTAATAAGTAAGTCGAGTTACATTTATACCCTATGTTGGTAACAAATTTTTTGGATTCCATACCAAATTGAGTACAATATTCTTCGAATGCTTGTTCTCTATTTGGTGAGATAATAATATATACTAATGCATCACTAATTCTATCCATTTGTTCACTAATATATTTGATATCATCTTACACAATTAAATTAAATATGTGACATACATAAAGAAGATGAAATGAGAAACCACCGAAATCTGGATTAAGAACTCTACACGGCTTATTAATAACATGTTTATTAACACTCGCATGATCAAACGTAAAATTACGAACTTTAGATTCGCATCGATATTCTTTTATAATTTGTATAATATCATTAATTATATTATTAATATTGTGAGTGAAATCAATTATTTTAAAAGCATTTATTTGTTTCTGCATTATCCAATGCGAATCTATATAGTGAGCAATTAGGGATGACAAAAGGGCGGGGCAGGGTCGGGGCAACCTCCCTCGCCCTTCGCTCGCCAAGTAATTCCCCACCCCGTTACCCGTTTAAGGCGGATCCAATTAATTTTTTTTAAAAGATTTGATAATTCATTTTATCCCCCATTCATTAGACTAAGACAATAATATATTTTTTAAACTTCACTTATTTTTAGAAGTTAAATTATTCAAATATATTTGGTAAACTAAGGCTTTTATTGTTTATCATATTTTTTT